TCTCCAAGACTCCACTCCATTCTGGGCTCTTTGCTCCACCATACCACATCATGAGACAAGTCTCATGACTTCTCTAACCATGTGTGCTCCTTAGAAGCGATTTCACGGCTCCAAGACACAACAGAGTGCATGGGACACAATAACCCTTAAGAGCTCACTGACCAAAAGCAAGGCATTGGTGAATCCGAAGACTTCTGAGACAGGCCTAGACTACTCATTACTCTATGATTAACCATTAAATTGATTTTTGCAAAACAAGGCCCCTTAGGTCTAAACGAGAAAAAGGTGGGTTCATGCTAGGATTAGACACACCTGGCTTAGAGGCCACACCCTAAAACTTGAGTTACCAGTTTGCAAGGACAGCCTGAGCCAGGGATGCAGCATACCTGAAAGATTAAGCAAGATTAATTTTCTACTCCTCCTAATATCAGGCTTCACTCTACCTGTAATTGCCACTGAAGTTAAATTTAATCAATTAATATTATTTTATACTGTACCCAAATCCACTGAACTTGGAGCAAGAAGGACTAATGACAAGATTAAATTGTATGAGCAAAGTCCCATATTCACTCGATTTACAGATGAGTACTATTCAGTATTCTTATACCAAAGACAAAGCTTTTCAATTCACCATTAAAAAACAATCCAGGTGCCCATCCATATATGAGTCCTTCAAGGTCCACACTGAAAATACCTGGGGTACTTCGTCCAAGAGTTACCAAGCATAAACAGCCAAAAACAGCCTCATTTCTCAGTTCTACATAGGAACCACTGAGCAAAATCTTAAAGACAAACCCACTTTCCTTGAGATCTTGTTTTTATTGCTTTTGTAAAATAACTTTTCTCTAGAGACAGCCCATCTTTCCCACACATAAAGCCTTTTCCTCCATTCCTCCACATGCAAACTCCTCCTCACCTTTTAAAGCCCAGAGGTCCAAAACCTACAATACAAACTATACGAGGGCAGTCAGTGATCTTTGTTTTGTTACTGGAGAATCCCAAGCAACGAGAACACTGCCTGGCACAAACTAGGCCCTCGATAAATGTTTGTTCAAAACTTGATTGAATGAGTGGATAAAGCTTACCCTGTATGGCCGCTCTACTCTCTCTAATGGGAAAACAGCAGACTACAAAAGCCAGAATTGTATTTGCTCCTATTTACAAGAGACTCACGTTCAACTTACTTACACTTACTTACACACTTACTTACACACACACACAGAGAGAGAGAGAGAGAGAGAGAGAGAGAGAGAGAGAGAGAGAGAGAGAGAGAGAGCGAGAGAGCAGGGAAAATTTTATTACTCCTTTTTAAAAAAGAGGTTAATATAAAATGAATGAGTGAATGAAACGTACCTCCTCTGTGATGCACTCCTCAGTCCACTTACAAATATTTACTGTAGAAACCCTCTTGTGTGTTCCCATTGATGGAACTAAACGTTTAACCTGCAAAACAACCCCCCAACTCCACCAACCAGAACTCCAGTGTGCTGGAAACCCTAACTTTGGTGAAAAGCCACACCCAGAACCAAATCCTTATTCCCTGGTTCTGTGACTCAGAGTGGTTCAAGAACACAATTCCTTAAATTTACAACTAAAATACATCTGTGTCTCTTGAGCATGCAATCCACCTTCTACTGCAGTGATTCTCCAACCTGGACGCACATTACAATTACCTGAGGAGCATTTAAAAATGTGGAAGCCCAGGCTACACCCTAGCCCAATTAACTCAGGGTGGGAGGCAAGCACGAGTACTATTTTAAAGCTTTCCAATTAGTTCCAAAGTGCAGCCAGGTTTGAAAACTACCTCTCTAGGGAACTTTAGGCCATCCCCTGGCCTAATGCTTGGTCTTCCATGTTTACACAAGAGAGACCTCTGGGAAGACCCCAGAGATCCTAAAGGGCATGATCCTTTTTAGCCTCTTTCCACCCAATTCCCATTCCCAACATCTCAAGCCACGTGGAATGGGCTTCACCCATTGCAAGGTGTTGCAGCCACCTACCTTAAGGCTGCAAGCTTCTTCCTCTAGAGAAGCCATTTCTTCTAGAGAGGGGTTGGCAGGGCGCAGAGATCCCCCTGACGAAAGGAAACCCCGTGTGCTCCGAATCAGGCAGCCTTTGGAGGCAGCCCCGTCCACACCTGGGCCAGAGGAATGGGAGGAAGAGGAAGAATTTCTGCGGCGGGATGAGTCCCAAGACAACCTTGGTGTGCAGGCCACATCGTCCTCCTTCTGGGCTTTCAGGCGCTTGGGGCTGCTGGCCCCTCCAGAACGCGACGCAGAGCTATGAGCGGGCCGTCTGGAGGGGGCCACATCACTGGTCTCCCGGAGGCAGCTGCGCTTGCGGGAACACCCTTCCGAAGTGCTACTCCAGTGGTACTTGACCTTGCGCCGCTCCGACGCCATGGGCACCTGCAAGGTAAAGAGGGGGCCTGGATTCCAATACCACCCCTCTTAGCTGTCCCTCCTTCCACTCCCGCCGTCCCGGGGTCCCCTGGGCGAGGGCAAGTCAGAAGGTCAGAGCCAGGGGCTAGCCCTACTAACCTTTCCCCCTTCTTTCCACTGCCCATCACAGTTCTCTGTTTCAGAGATGCCAAAGCGCTTCGACTGTTTGCGATTCCAAAGCGCTTCGGAGAAGTCAAAACGCTGCAAGGTTTACTAAAGGCTTCGGTTCGGTTTCCCAGCCCACAACGTGCTTCCACGATTACCAAACGCTTCAGTTTGCACAGCGCTACCTCGGAGATGTCAAAGCGCTTCCGGGACTACAAAGAGCTTCGATTTAGTTTGCAATACAAAGCCCTTCAGAGATGTCAAAGCGCTTCCTAAGACTACTGGCGCTTAAGGTCTACACATGGCGGCTGGACCCGCAGCCCTTGGGCGGGCGCGCCGCCCGCAGGCCCCAGAACGCCGATGGCGGGCCGCAGGGCCGGACCGGCGCGTGGCCCGCCCTGCTCCCGCGGCCCCGCCGACCAGCCCAGGCCGGAAGGGGCCCGCGTCGCCCCTCAGGAGCCGGCGGCGCCGGGGTCCACCGCCTCAGGACACCTCTCGGCCACCTCTTCCGTCCCTGCGCCGCAGCCCACACGTCGGTCCCGCCTTCCCCACGGCCCGGACGTTCCGCCCCGGCCACCGGCTCGACTCCCGCCCCAGTCCTGCGGCCCCGGCCCCGGACTCCGCCCGAGACCCGACCACACTGGCCTCCGCTGCGCCCGCCTCCCGGAATGAGCCCTGCGGCTCGCAGCCCGGCGTGCGGCGGGGGCGGGCCCTGCGTTGGACGAAGGTCGCCCATTGCTCCAATCGGCGAGGGGCGAGACTCCGAGCAAGACGGAGCTCAACTGTTGGTCAGAGGCTGGGAGGCGGGACCCTATGCCGTATGAAACTCGACCATTGGTCGGAAACGAAGCGGGGCGGAGCCACTCACGTGGTTCCAAAGAGCGCAACGTTCAGGCAAGGCGCAGTTCCTGGGGTTGGCCTTCTGTGAGATTTGGAAGCGTCCGAGCCCGGTGCCGAAGCACAGCAGCCGGCTGCTCAGCATTGCCGCTTTTAGCTGTGAGCTTTCAGATCCGGATGCGTTCACCGAACTCACACCAACATTATCAACCCATATACAGAGCAGGAAACCAAGTGACATACCCAGAAAGTGGCAGAATTGGAATTAGAAGTTAGAGCCACGAAAAGAAAAGACTACACAAAAATGTAAAATATCCGGCCAGCGGAGTGGCGGATTAGCTAGGAATTGGCTTGGGACACCAGCTCTGAGCAGCAGAGCCCAGGTTTGGAGCCCACATTAGGGCCAGTGACGCAGGGCCCTCTACAGCTAAGATGGTGAAGAACAGCTCGACCTGGAGCTGGGCTGCTGTGAGTCGCTTGTGAGTTGCAGGTGACGGTGTAGGCTGCAGAGGGGCTGGCCGGCAGCAGGCATGAGCTTTTGTGAGCTGCTGTAAGCTGCTATGAGCCACCGTGAGCGGCCATCCAAAGGCCGGTGAGCGACTGCCTCACCCAGGAAGAATGCAGTGATAATACCAACATGGGCCAGTGAAGCGACATCCTCCACAATTAGACTGAAGAACAAAAAGACAGCGACTTGTCTATTCCCCTTCCCCTTCCCCAACTCTGTTCCCCTCCCCCAATTCCCCAATAAAATCTTTGAAAAAAAAAAAGTAAAATATCCACCTGGGAAAAAATATGAAAGACAAAAGACAAGATACAAACTTAGAAAAATATTTGCAACACATGACAAAGCGTTGATGGCCTTGCTATGTAAAAACTCTTGCAATAAGATAATTCAGTATTAAAATGGACAAAGGAAATGAACCAATGAACAGAAATTGTGAAAGCCTCTTTAACATGTTAGAAAATTACCACCTCAGTCATTTAAAAAGCACAAATAAAATTTTCACCCATTAGATTGTCAATGATCAAAAAACATAATATTCTTTGTAACTGAGGATATGAAAAAATGCACTCCCATATGTCACTAATGGACGTTCAGATTGATACAACCTCCCTGGAAGGCAGCACTGTTTGTAGTAGCAAGAATGAAAACAACCTCAATATGCAGTAAGCAAAGCTAGTTATATAAACTACAGAATATACATACAATGGAATATCAGGCAAAAAGAAGTGATCCAAACATACTGTTGAGAAAGAATGGCCCAGGCTGGCCGAGTGGCTCAATTAAGAGCTCACTCAAGAGTGCGAGCTCTGAGCAACAGCGGTTCGATGCCGCGCCAGAGCTGAGCTGCCGCTGAGCTACCAACAGGTGGCAGGAGGGCTCAGCTAAAAAAAAAA